ACACACACACACACACACACACACACACACACACACACACACACACACACACACACAAGCGGGATACTTGTTATCCAGCACGGCGTTCGATGGGCCAGAAGTTAGTGACAATAAACAGCTAGAGGCAGCGGCCGCTACACGGATCACATATCTCTGAGTCGCCGATGAAGACACCGCGCAGACCGGAAATACGTCACGTGACCGCGCGTCTGACATCTAACGTGAATCATGGGAGGCATCGTGCGCTGTCGAAACACCACAAATACGTACAAAACTAACTCGTACGCTGCTGTACGGTGTAGTTGGTACATCCTACACGATATAGCTTATAAGCTACTTAACAGTAACGGAGTACATTTATTTCGTGATAAATACGTGTGTATTTCACCTGTTAGACCGTTTGTCCGAACCTGTTGCTAACATAGATTTTTAGACAAGATACACTCAACCTTTTTGATGTAGACGGCGTTGGCCCGTTAAAAATACATATAGTTTGAAATGCGATGCCTTCATGGGTAATTCATACGTCATTTATATATAATACGACTACGATGGTATATATATAACAACGAGTCTTTTCTGAAATTAAATAAAGTGATGAGAACGAAGTTGCTACTCACAATCTTTCAAGATTGACCAAGTCATCAAACGATCCCCTTTCGATGCTCGTAATCTGATTTTCGAGAAGTTGCCTAAAAAGTAAAGCGAGAAATGAGAGTCTTGATAAATTTAATGAGAGTTCAACTGCGTTTCAAATCCACGCATCCGCGTGTGCCGAATAGACACATTGATTCAGTGTAAACAACACGAGTGTTGCAAGTTACGATGAGTCACACGGCAATGACGCGTGAGGTCAATTAATTAATCACATTGAAAATTATTTTAATTATTTACTCAGTCCTCATCTGTCCCCGGTGGAACACAAGGCTGCCATCTTGCTAATCCTGATCCTACTATAACTTTAGTATCGTGCCACGCGGTTGTATGAACCCATTCATAACTTGGTAAAACTCTTAAAATTCTGCGCTCGCGTGGCATGAAGCACATTATGCACGTAAAACATTTTCACGATTACAAAACACCGTAAAAGGAAAATAAAACTTACAGAATTCGCAGATTGCCGAGTCCAGCGAAGTCATTTCGGTGCACCACCGATAGATTATTGCCTTGCAAATCCCTGCAAAAGAGAGACACATACAGGTGATTATATTGCTATTGTTCCGAGCACTGTATCGCTAAGGTAAGCGATATACGCGGTGCTACGTCTTTACGTATCAGCAACAGTGGTTATTAAATAGGCGTTGTTCGCAGGTCGTATACACCGAGCCGGTGACAATACGTGCTAATTACATACGCTGTTAGTTCGAAGTCGGTGGCCAAACACAACCGCTACTCACATGCAAATTTGTTTCTCATTTCAAGCGACAAATAGCGGGGTCGACCGCTGGTAAGTGCGCATATACTTACGAGAAGGGGGAAGATGAGAGCGCGAAGAGAGAGAGAGAGAGGGAGAGAGAGAAAGAGCGAGAGAGAGAGAGAGAAGGAGAACGAGAAAGAGAGGGACAAGAGACCGGGCATAAGAGAGAGAGAGACACACGACGACGGTTGAGTCCGGGAGAAGCTCGCACGTTATGTGCACTCGTTCCGGCGAGAAAGACGGAAAGAGAGACAGACGATGAGAGGGGGAGAGAGAGTCGGTAGATAAGAGATCGATGAAGAGTAGAGCGCGAGTCAGAGATGAGAGTAGAGAGAGCGACCAGAAGAGAGAAGAGAGCATACGAGAAGGAGAGAGAGAAGACGAGAGAGAGGAGACTGAGAGAAGACGAGCGACAGGAGAATGAGAGAGAGAGAGAGAGCTGAGCGGTGAGAGTTGATTAACTGTGGAAGTGAGCGAGGGAGAGGCACAGAGCGGCGAGCGTAGGCAGAAGAGAGAAGATCAGGCGAGGAGGAGAGAGAGAGAGTGGGGGGCAGCGTGGCGGGGCAAGATACCGCTAGAGCACAAGCAGAGGAGAGAGAGATGGAGGAGACACCACACACCCGCAGGAAAAAGTATGAGTAGAGGAGAGGGAGCTCGCAGCGCACGCGAACACAATTGTATAAACACGAACCAAAGAATAAACTGACGAGAATGAAGGGCGGATCGAGAGAGAGAGAGAGAAGGAAGGCGAGAGAGGAAGGACGAGTGCATGCGGGAGAGGACATACACACAGACAGACATGACACAAATAGAGAATCCTCGGCGCGCAACCTATAGCATATCCTTCTGGACCCCCGTAATAGCAGCCACAAGCTCATTGCCACGCCGCCCCCCTCGACCCCGCCCCGCGCTAAAGCATACTCATCACCGTCTGACTGTCATTACGCTCGAGCAGTGACATAGATGAGAGACGTCGGCGCCTGGAATGGTCGACGCGGCGAGTATGGGTGCGTTTATTACCGGCTGACCCGTCAATGGAGCGTCCGCGGCGCTGTGCTGTATATGATGCGCGAATAGCCGGGTAGAGTTCGCCGCCACGCTAGACGAGAAAGTAGGAGAGGAGTGAGCGGGGGGCGTGGCGTGTCTGCGTGTGCAGGGGTGGTGGTGTAAGTAGTGCGCTGTGTGCTGGGATGGGGGCGTGTGTGTGCTGTTGCGGCCTGGTGGTGTGTGTGTGATGTGGGTGTGTTGTGTGGGGTGTGTGTGTGTGGGGCTGTGTGTGTGTGTGTGTGGGACAATTTTGGGCGTGTGCTCGTGCTGTTCGGTAGTGTGTTTGTGTGTGCCTGTGTGTGTGTGTGTGTTGTGTGTGTGTGTGTGTGTGTGCATGTGTGTCGTGTTGTGCTGTGTGTGTGTGGCCTGTGCGGTGTGGGGATCGGGGCGCTGTGTGTGGGTGTTGTGTGTTGTGTGTGATGTGGTGTGGTGTGTGTGGTGTAGTGTGCTAGTGTGTGTCGTGTGTGTGTGTGCTACGCCTGCTGCCTGTGCGCGCGTGTGATGCTGTGTGGTTGTGTGGCGATGTTGTGTGTGCAGCGCCCTCGTGTAAGCGTGTTTCGTTGTCGCCCTGAGTGGATTGGCTGGTAGGGTTTGTGGTGTTGTAGTGAGGTATAGGTGGGCGGGCTGCTATGTGGGAGTGGAAGCTGGCCATTCATACACTAGCTTAGCCTGTTGTTATGCAATGGAGTATACGTCTATGATTACCTACAGGTCCCTATGGATTACGCCGGACTCGAATGCTTGTCGCGCGTGGCTATAGCCTTGCTTGGTTAATGCGGAGAGTGCAGTGTTCAAGAAATACATTGTTTAAGAATAGATATTTACGTAGATACATACACACACGCACGCACAAGCTCGTACGCGTGCACGCAC